GGCTAGCATAAAATTGAATTCTCTTTAGCATGCGGAGAGCGTGTATACTCAAGCATCTCTTTTATTTGTTCGGTTTGTCGATCGAAAAGCAGAAAGAAAGCGGAAAAGCCGGAGATAAAAAGAAAGGCAGTAAAAGCAGCCAAAGGCATTTGAAGATGCTTCGCTCTCTCTTATTTGTGTTTTCATGTGCATGAGTGTGTGTGTGTGTGAGTATCTGTGAATGCTTCGATTGAGTGCGCATCTTTAAAGGCATGCCATCTCCATACCAATCCCCCGCAGACCCCCCTCTCTACTCCCATAACATTATATATATTTTTTATTAATTTGCACTTTTATAGCTGACAAAGGGGGCGTGGCTGTTGGCGAGGTAAACATTTGGAAAAACTGCAGTCGCTGGCACTTATCGACATGGCGCACACTTGAAATTGAACGAAAGCAAATATTTTTACTGCACAACAAAACAGAAACAAGAACTGCAGCGCATACCTAATAAAAGCCGAAGCCACACCCCCAAAAGTGGGCGTTGCTGGCTGCGGTTTTCACTTTCACTGTGTTTACAATGGCAGGCAGAACTTTAGGGGCGTTTTTTTTATAATTTAATAAATTGAAGAACATTTTGAACAATACAATTTTAAACATATAGTCAACAACAATTTTAAACTTGTTTGAAAACATATATTTTCCTTCACTTTTTTATAAAATAGAATGTTACCAAACTCATGAATTATTTTTATAGTTTTTAAACTGGTTAAGTAACTAATTTTAGCATATGTTATAATAATTTAATTGCAAATGCTTGCCATAAAAATTTTTTTGCTGTATATGTGTGTCTTCATTGTTACCGGAAACTTGTTAACAATGTTTGTATTATTATTGGAAGCAGTAAAAAATGTAATGGAAATTGCATTTTTTTTTTGTTCACCACTATTTCTTTGAGCCCGGCTGTTTGTGGGGTGCAGCATGCAAAAATATTTGCACTTGACTGGCGGCTGCTGCTTCTGCTGCCGTTGCAGCGGAAACGGAAACATGACACCTGCGCAGCCACACACACACACATATGCATGTTCAGGGGCAGGAAAGGAAGGGAAAGGAAAGGGCAAAAGGATAAGAGGAGCAATGCAGACAACATTGGGCAAACAAACGCAAACCGAGTCGAGATAAACAGGAACTTATTATGCGAACTCATGCAAGATGAGGTGAGTGGGTGGTGGGTGGTGGGCGGTGGGCGGTGGGCGGTGGGCGGTGGTCAGGGGGCGGCAAATAAGTGGGCTGGCATTGCAATTGCAACTGTGTTCGGTTATTTTGTGCTCTATCTGAAATTACACGGACAACAATGGCACGGGCAACAACTGCCCGCAAATTCCCTGCCACTGTCATCCTCTAGTTTATTGTTATGTTTGCCAATTGCCAGACCACAGCTGCCACGCCCCCTGCCCCCTGACCTCTGCCCCCAGCATCCGCCACCCGCACTAAATGAGGCATGTGTTTTCACACCTTGACCCCAGCAGGTGGCATCGAAATAAAAACCAAAACAAAACCACAAAAAGCGATTAAGGGCAACACTCGAAGAGGTGAGTTCTCAGCAGTCAAAAATTAGGATGAACTAAAGGCAAGTTCCTTGCTGGGAGCCTAATTGTTTTAATAATATAATCGTGGTGAAAAGACAACTGCATTATTATTGTCAATTATAGCAGAGTAAGAAATGTGACATATTTTAAAATAATTTACTATTGTCATAGTCGAATTTTTGACTAAAATCTTATTCTCGTGTTTTTAACAAAATTCTAAAGCCATTTTTTCGACTTAAAAATGTCGTATTTTGACTGCCATAACAAAAATAAAAGTCAGAATAATGAATGTCATACCTCGTCGAGCTCGTAGTTTAATTTACAATCCATTGACACTCAAACCTAGAAAATTTTGATTTTTTCCATTTTTCGAAAATAACATGATGTACCCCCTTAAAAAAAATTTGAAATTTGGTCAAAAATTAGATGTTTATTAAAGTGATAGAAATCGTTAGCATATTTAGCAAGCTGCTCAAAACAGTCGGTCTTTTTGGTGTACGCCTTAATTTGGCTAAAATACGATTGAAAAACCGGAAAGAAAAGTCGCATTTTTGAAAATTTCATTCTCGTGTTTTTGACAAAAATCTGAAGCCTATTTTTTCGCCATAAAAATTCCGTATTTTGGCTGCCATAATAAAAATAAATTCAAACCTAGAAAATTTTGATTTTTGCCATTTTACGCAATAAAACATGCCAAAATATTCGAAATTTGGTCAAAAAAATACATTTTCCTTAAAGTGATCGTTAGCATATTTAGCAAGCTTTCCAAAACAGTCGGTCTTTTAGGTGTACGCCTTGATTTGGCTAAACTGCGATTGAAAAACCACTATTTAAACCCCATTTATCCTGGACTGAATCCTTTCACAGTCCAGGATATTTGCTGGTCTAGCATGCACTTCCGGGCAAGCAGTGCGACGGAAAAAAGTGCTGCCTGCATTTGGGCGCTGCTGTTTGCGATTTATTTTGTTAGAATTCCGTTTGTTTTTCACCTAACAGCTGTCGCATCATCAACACAAACCGTTTTGTTTGTCGTACAAATAATTTAGACATTTACGTGAAAATTCAGCGCCAGCAGCTGATAATAAAAGGCAGAAAAAAAGCCAAAAAAAAGAAGAGGAACGGGAATAAAAAATGAGGCCAAAGGGCAGGGGAAAACGAGAAAAAATTGAGAGAAAACTTTTGGTAAATTAAAGCCAAACAAAGCGTCAGATGCCAGCTGCACATGAATATATATTAGACTTAATGTATTTCGTCAACATTTTGCTCACAATGTGAGAAAGATGCAAACGATGCCAGAGACATAAAACGCAGAGCCCCAAAAAGAATGCGAATGCAAATTCACTCGAGTGAAACGAGTGAAAAGATGGCACTGGAAATGGGAACATGAAATAAAAAGGAAGCCATAAACAGACAAAGTGAGTGTCAGTAGGGGACGAGAGGAAAACCTCAAGAAAATCCAAAGAAAACCCAAACAAATTGAAGTAAATTAGCTAAACTAAGAGAGCGCTTTATGCTTTAAACTTTTTATATATGGGGTATATATGTATTTCCTAAAAATTTTAATTTGTCATAAGCTACTTTGTTTGCTCTCAGATTTTTCGTTTTTGATTAAATCCCAGCCCGGAGTGGGGTGGTTAGGCAAAAAAAAGTAGAACAAAATGTAAGCGCTCGACTTTGACTCTCCAATTTCGGCTAAAATGAAAGTGCATTTGCACACGTGTGTGTCTGGCGTAAGCCAGCGAGCAAATTAAAAACGAACGCCAAAGGCAACGACAACTGCAGGCCGTCGTCTGCAAACCACCCACTTTTCACTGCCCCCTTTCCGCCTTTTTCCTGCCCACCCATGCATTTTCCCATCCTTTTGTTCCTGGGTGGAAACCTGCTTTTCGGACGCTTAGCATGGCCAACAATTCAACGCCCTAGCCCAGGGAAAATACCCTTGTCCCTCTGAATTTCCACCATTTTCCGCTGCCTGGTTTTATGCATTTTTAAGCAGCCATTTGTCAAGCGCGTGAGCTTAACTCACCAAAAATTTCTCTGTGTGTGCAGACTGCACTGCTTGGACACTGGAAGAAAATTTGGCAAAGTTCCTTTGAGATAATCAGTTTGAATCATTATATTTTACTAGGCTACAAAGCTTAAACTTGTTTTATTACATTTTTTTATATTACCCAAATCATTTTTTTCTATCTTTTAGGAAGCCCTCGAATTTTTAAAGTGCAGTTAAAAGTGTTCATGGTATGCGTGCGTGAGGTTAAAACTTTTAATTAACTAAAATTGAGGCACCTCAGCCACAAAGAACTTTTTTTTTGCCGCTCACCATTGAATGAAAACCACACCGACGTAAAGTCAAATTCAGACAGAGGGGAGCGAAAAAAAAAAAACTCAAGCGCCTTTTACCTTTTCGAGGAAACCGCCACAGCCACTGATAGCCCCCCTTTGACACCTCATCACCACGCCGCCCATGAAGGTGGCTCGAAAAAGAAGCGAAAACTTTCGACAGGCAAAGTACAAGATACTTAAGGCAACTGGCAAGTCAATTCAAACACTTCGAGCGACTCAACAGATCAAAATCGCGTGTGTCGCTTTTTTGGTAAAAAAAAAAGGAAAGGAAAGGGGGGCAAATGGGGGTGAGAGGTTAGAAGGGACTTTCAAGGGGTTTTCTAGGGGGGCTTTCAGTGGGTTTGTGGCAATAGCAGGCCTGACTAGGACATGCCCCAAAGGCAACGAGCGTATTCATGCTGCGTAGCTTGTGGATTTGTCGTACATCTGCCAACTGCTTCGGGAAATTTAAAAGAATTTGTCTTCTGTGAATTCTGCTTTTAGGCAGTAAAAAAGACCAAGAAAGACTTCAACGAATGAGGGTTCCTTGAATATGTTATTAAAGTCTAAGAGGAGATACCCAGCCATCTAAAAAACTTTGAATTGGCTCTCTAAATGGATCTTAAAGGCTGATTTAACATGAAACCTAACTTAAGTTACGTAAAACATTTAAATATTTATTTGTGGTTTTCCAATTTGAGTAATTCTAGTAAATAAAAAACTTATAGCAAAAGCAATTCCTTTAAAACTATTTACTTTATGAAACTTTAAGAACTTTTTAAGAGTTTTACAGCGTCACTGTTTCATGACTTTCCTTTTGCAAATTCGTTAAGGGACCAAGGAATCTTTGAAAAATCCTTAGAGTCATTGTCAACAAAAAAAAGTGGGCAAGTTTTTGCCCAACAAGTTTTCATGGCAACTATAATGTTCTATCTATTTTTGTTTACTTCCCTTGCTCTAGTTTGTAATTTATTAAAAAAAATTTATGAATAATTTAAAAACTTTAGCATAAAGGAGGGTAAAAAATATTTAAGCTAATGAAAAACAAAAGAAAATGTTGCTTTATATAACAACCCGTTTAATATGTGATATGACCATTTAAATTTGCAGATTCCGAACTGGAGGAGTTCGAGACGCCGGCAAGGTACAGGCCCGACTCGCTAAGTGCGCTGAGCCGCGCCACGCGCTTCACGGAGGACGAGATCAAACGAATTTACCGGGGATTTAAGGCTGAGTGCCCGACGGGCGTCGTCAAGGAGGACACCTTCAAAGTGATCTACTCGCAGTTCTTTCCACAGGGAGGTTCGTGCGGTACAGTATACTTTGTTTCGTTAACCCTTCTGACTTGACTAGTGATTACTAACGCCTGCCTTACTGTATTGTTGCTCTTATCTGCATTAGCGCCATTTTAATTGCATTGCGATAGTGATAGCGATAGCGATAGCGATCGCGATACCGATAACCATAGCACTTATCGGTGTCACACGCTAGCCAAACAGTACAGTCACCACACCAACAAAACATCGTTGTAGTTCGAGTTGCAACATCCCAATATCGATAACAATATCGAAATCGATCTAGATGTGTGTTCTGCGTTCCAGTTCTGTGTCTAACTAACCTCTAATTTAATGTTGATTTTACTACTTAGTACTTGTGTTTGTGTTGGTTGCATTGTTGTTCATGTCCATGTATTTTGCGAGAGTACGTGTGGGATTCATTTTCGATATTTTGAGTTGGGTCTTCACTTTTATTTTTTTTTAATTACAAAGTCATTTGTCTTATCTTATATCAGTTTAGATATTATTTATTTATCTTTACTGTTTATTATCTTTATCAGTGTAATTTGCTGAGTTCTTTCACTCTATATATACCCGTTAAAGGAAAATGAATTTCAATCCGAAAGCTGCATATCGTTTCTTTCACTTAGCAGCAATACCAATCGATGTGGGTTAAAGAGGCGAAAGCGGAAACGGAAAAGCGGAATTCGGATGGGAATGGAAATGAAAATGAGAGTTACGATTAGCAAAGGGCCACAAAACAAATGGCAATTGACTGGAGATTTCCCACCGACCCAAGCACTTTGCCCCATCCTCGTTGGCCGAAAAAGTCAACCCAAGGCAAAAGCCATTGATAAAACTATATGACCCAAAGAGTTGCCAATGATGATCATCGGGGAATGCCAAATAAAGATGATGATAATGATGATGATGTGGATGGGTCCAAAGGAACTGCGACTAGGATGATGCTAATGACGATGCTTGGCTATATTCAGCGTGGCCAAAAGGCGACTCTTTGTTTGGCCGGGCCAAGCTGGCCCTTGGCTTCTGAAAATATGAAATGCAGAAAGCAAATTAGCAAAAAAGCATAAAAAGCAAAATCATGTTTCACAAGTCGCGGTCGCGCAGGGGGGCGTGGCAGCCAAGCCACCCACTTGACCTCGTTTTAACAACAAGTGAATTTTTTTTCTGCATTTTTTTCGGGTTCTTTTTTATTTTTGCCCAGCTTTTTGCTTGTGCACAATTTACATTTACATTTGCAAAAGCTGAAACTGAAGATGAGACCGAGGATAAAAAAAAAGGGGGATGGATTCTTTCAGTGGCCGGTAACTAACTGAATTTCTGATAGATTACTGCGGGCGAGGGTCCGCTGCGGGCTGGGAATTCGGGATAAGGGTTCGTTGCCAAACACACAAAAATGTCAAAGAAATGTTAAGAAAAGTCGGGGTGGAAGGGTTGATTACTCACCGAAAATATTATGTCCGTTTTGTAGCTAATTTTGTTAAAAGCAAAATTAGACTTTTTCCACTTCTTTCCATCAGATTAAATGTGACAAATCGTTGGCATTAAAATTAGGGATTTATTTAAAGCAATTTTAAGCACAGGCGGTGACTAATTAAATGTATTAAATTACAAAGGCATTTTGTTTTGGTTGCTTTTTGATTAAATAAATGCTTAAGTGTTGGCTAAAGATTAAGGTTTCATGGCAAAAATTCCCAATAATTCCAATTGATTGCTACAAATTGCTAGGAGAATTTAATTCGCACCTCGGCAGTCGGCCAGACATGGGCCATAAATTATGTTTAGGCCACATTTGTACTGCCGCTTAAATCCAGAGCCGGAAAAGTTATTGCTACACATGTTGGGACACTGAATTATTATAATAAACTTATTTTGCCTTGCGACAATGGTGGCCTAGCATTCGCCCACATTGACAGGCGGAAACGGAAATAAGAAACAAGAACAAGAAATTCCCCTGCAAACATGGCGCTTATGTATTTCCTCTCACCCCCAGACGACGCCTCTTATTCTCCATCATGTCTGCCGTTATCTGATGAAAAATAAATAATGAAATCATTTTTTATTTTGATAAGCTGCTTTGCCACACACACACACACGCAGCAGAGAACAAAAAAAAACATCATCAAAGTTGGTGATTTATCACTTTGCCTGTATTCCCTCGCATTTTTTTTTTGTTTTTCGCGCCGTTTCTTTTGGCCAATTTCTGCGCAAATTTTATAACAATTTTTACATGGCACATTTGCAGTCATTTTTGATTTGGCACAACGTGAAAAAACGCCGAGAAGCAGATGCCATCTTTGCCATTGAGCTTTGACCTTGTGGGCATGGCACCCTGCGTCATGCGTCATAAAAACACATTAAGCATCAAACGGCGACAATAAATTTGGACAAATAAAAGTACACACAGTGGGTACAGTACGAGTGGTGGCTTTAAGGCGCTGTAAAGTTTAAAGTTTAAGCCCTGATATCTCGAATATTGCTTGAACTTAAGAAGTTACTTGATAATAGTTCACCTCAACAACTTTTAATCTCAATCAACACTTTGCTTGTTAACTGAGCCCTTTTAAACTTACTTAGTTTTAAAGTAAAAGTAAAAGTAAAAGGCGTAAGTTGAACTCTAATCTCATTAAGCAAGTCTGTAAACTTGTTCCCGAAATTGAGTTATCGACTGCAAACAGTAAATGCAACAAAATTCGCCAATGCCCTGAACTTTGGCTTTATGACCCCGCGATTCAGGAAGGACTTTTCGGGGCATCAAGTCGCACACACACCGAATGGCAATTGAAGCGGCTTTATGAACTGACGCCTTGCCGTCTTCCTGCCAAAGAGGTGTAAACGTTGTGAGCGTATAAGCCCTACAACAAAAAAAAAAACACAAAAAAAACTTTGGCATCAAGCCGTAAACATAAACGCGAATCGTAAAAAAGTAGCCGAGCAAAGTGAGAGCGAGCGAAATAATCAAAATGTTATGTGATGGCCAGATAAAGAAATTCTTCTGACAGCGCAAATGGCGGTTGGGACACTAAGAGCGCTAAGTGCTCTTGCTGAAAGTCGAAAAGTGCGATAGCAAGGCTGGGAAATCTGGCCAAAGAGGGAAAACTTCCGCCCAGTCACAATGCCCTCATAAGTAGGCAACACTTTTTTAAATTCCGGTTCCAAGCAGTGCCATGAGCAAGCAGTGCTTATCAGTTGACACAGGAGACACTCGCATAATTAGCTGCAAACTGTTTCCCATTCCATTTTTAAGCCCCCACCATTCGGAACGAAACTTTCGGCGACCCCGAGTCCCAAAAAATGTTGACTTTTCCCACTGATAAACAGCAAAGACAAAAAGCACACACAAAAAAAATAAAAGCAGCAACCGGAACGAAAACATGGAAAAACTTTTGCGGTTGACAAAACCGAAAGGAGAAGGGAAAGTTTTTGCAACCAAGACGAAGGCGACCCACATAAAAGTTGCCAAGCAAGACCGGGAGCCGAAACTCATATCTTTATACCAGCGAACTATCGAACCGTTATTGTTTCTTTACACAGATAGAAAACTCTATGAAATTCTGGTGCTTCATTAAAAACATCACAAAGAAACTTCTTTAAATAAATATATTTTTAATATATTTTTATTTATTTAAACTTCTTTTTTTTTAAATCATCTATTTAAAGAAAATTAGTAGATCAAACTTAATTTTCCCTTTATCTAACTTATATTTTTCTTTGTGTATTTGGTATTATACATGTTCATCTAAATGTGTGTCTGTGCGTATTTGTATGTCTAGAGTTCATTTGATAATGTTACCAAAAGTTTAACCGCTTCAGTTGAGACCTAATTGGTCGACTTTTGCAGCTAACCCGTGGAGCGTTCTCATTTAACGCCCTTCTTCTCTTATTTTCATTTAACCAACAACGTCGAAAATGTGCCACCACCCACATAAACAGCCAATCCAACCTTATATGCGCACTATGTATTTAATACACTGGATCAGGATCACAGTGGCATTGTCAGCTTCGAGGTAAGTGTTTCCATTTTTATGGCTTAAGCAAGTCTTATATGACCGAGGCGGAGGTATCCCCATAACACCAGCAACCAAAGAATATTCTGTATCAGCAGAAAAATTAATCAGTTAGGGAGAATTTTCTCTTTCACCATCTACTTATTTTATACAAAACAAACAGGTGGGCTTTAGGATAAATGGTTAACATATTATTTGTATTTCGCATTGCTAATTTCATATCTGAATCTCCAATATATTCTCGAATTTTCTGTGATGTGATGATGATGAAAATTATCTGGCATAATTTAAATTCCGATAAACAAACCCCAACCTTGACCTTAATGATATTCACGAATTCTATGTGAGCAGTGTCATGTCGACAGCACTGATTTTCATTTCTGTGGAAATTCTTCTGCCCCCGCACTCCTGACAACAGTGTGCGACATCAAAGTATGGCCTGCGGCCAGCGACGAGAATGAGAAATGCAATGGGAAGCATTTGAGCAGCTCATTTCCGTGTGCGATGTGTGTTTTTGGGTCCTCTGACCAGGTTGCTCCATCTCAATCTCAATTCCAATGAAGACCAACTAATGGAGCTCGGTCGTGTGTGGGTCCTGGGGCGAAATTGCGATTTAGATTGGACCATCGAGAACCGGTAGGAAATTGAGAAATTGTCTTGGAAATCAACTTTCGTACAACAATTTGTGGCACTCACTACTGTCTGTCGAAGCCATTTGCAATTAAAGCGAACACAAGGCAACGCAACCATATAGCCTAATGTCCAACCATTTGTAGATACTTACACTGGAAACAAATTCATTAAAAGTAAAAGTGAGTTTTTATGAGGTATTGCTGGAAATTATGCAAGCTTCAATGAAAGTTATGACTTTATTACCATTCCTTAAGTTAACATCAAGGAAAATAATATTTAATTATATAGCCTTTTTTTCTAAGTGTACCTGTACACCGTTTTCCGACTGATAATATAGCATGCGTTCAAGGGCGTTGAGAGCTGAGCAAATTTATGGCCAACTACATAATTGAGCGGACAGAACACCGAGAGTCCGGTTCCGGGGGAATGTGTGGTGTGGCCGTAGTTGTGATTGAATCGCTGCCGTTTATCGCTGGCTATCGTTATCGATAATTAATCTTGCCAATTGAATGGCCAGGCAAATGCGTAGGATTCATCCTCGAGTACGGGCAAACACAGGCTCGGGCAATTCAATTTAATTTACTCGGTGCGCCTCTTAATGTCCGGACGATGATGCGGCGCAAAGTGAAATTGTTGAGGTCACCGGGAGGATGGGCGTTGGGTGGGCGGGGCCACAGACTTAAGTACAATGAAATTACTTTAGACATTTTAAGTATAAAATATGGCTGACAGCCGAGTCGAGTTGAGTTTTCTTTGGTTTAGTTTGAGGCTAGGGTACAGTGCGAAAATAATTATAAGCCCTAATTTAATACTTAGTATTTAATATACTAAGCAGTCCAAAATAGTATATTTCTTGAAAAAAAAAATAATAAACTGATAATTTAGTAAAATAATATTTATAAAAACAATTATAATCAAACACAAGTAGTTTTTTCTCCACTTAATTTTAATGTTTCATCTGTGGAAACCATAGAACTAATTATTTAAACAATTTTTTTTTCTTGAATAATTTATTTTAGAGAAACTAAACTTCTTATAACGATTTAATATGATTTATTTTTTATATTTTTATTTTCAAAATCTATATCTGTTTTGTATTATATTATCGCCTGTTTAAAGATCTTTATGAAAGTGAATATTTCTCCTCAGTGCAGCTTAGAAGCAAAAGTTGTGTAGCATCGTGAGTTTCTAAATGAAGCTGATTTGGCTCAGAGGGGCAGTAGAAAGGGGGCTTAAAAGGGGGATGGGGCCAAATGACGCTGCAAAAACGCTACCAGGAAGCCAACAACAACATGTACAAACAGGCGAAGGTCCATGGGGCAACTTCATCTTCTTCTTTTTGGCCTGGTAAGCGCCTTTAGTTACGGTTTATTAGTGACAGCGACCAGGGAGCCGAGAACAAAGAGTATCGCCAGATAGATGTTTAAGCGCTCTATTAACATGCGCAGCATAAAAGTTGTAATACGCAAAGTACACACTCAGACGCCAGACGCCCCCCATTATAATCCCCCTACCATCCAAAAATTGTCTCGTCATTGGGCCGAGAAGTGAGTAAATTCGGGGTAAAAGGAATAATTTGCCAGCAAAGGGGTTGGTTTTACAGAGTTACTAATAACTTTCCATTTTTAGAAAAACTAATAATTTAAAGACTACTCTTTATTAGATTTGCAGTATTAAAGTCAACCCTTTTAGCTAAAAAGCTGTGCAAATATACCAATGCTCAATGAATATAATCTTTAGGAATAAGGAAATAAATCTAATCAAGAAATGTTCTATAAAGAGTAATAGTATGGCAATTTTTTTTAACTTTCATATTATAAATGTAAACGATTTATGTTTATAAATGCAATAAATTTTAGTCTTATCTTTGAGACAGCATTAAACATGCATTAAAAGCCAAAAGCGTCGAAAAACTGACTTAATTAATCCAGATATTAGCATACTTTGAGAATTAAGCAAAACTATAATCCGCCAAAATGTAGAAAAGCTCCAATTAGATGCAGTCACGGAAAATGGAAAATGGAAATGAAAATTATAATGCAAGCACTGCATATTCAGACAGCATTTTTGCAACGCTTTGACTTCTGTTTTTGCCGCTTTCGCTGGAGGGCAAAAACGGCAAGGAACCCGAAAAATAATGCTCGAAATTCAGAAATCAAAGTGAAATGTCTCGAAATTGAAATAAATTGCTGGCTGGCGAGGGGGGAATCTATAGTTTCCAGCGCATTCGCGTGTTTCACTGCTGTCGCCTGTCATTGTCAACGTTTCTATTGCAGTCAGTGCGGAATGCAAAACAAAAGCTGTCAAAAAAAAAGAAATAAGAAAAAATAAAAGACAAGAAAAACTGAATAAATTTCCACGGATAGAGGGAAATGCTAACAATCCCCCCTCTCTCCCCCATGTGGTGCATGCAAATTGCGAATAATTTTTTTTGCAGTTTATCCACTGTCTTGCGACTGCCCCTGCAATGTCCGAACATGAACTCCACTTCCGGTTGTCAGAGGAGCTGGCTGAGATTGTGGGCAGGGGATTGGGGGATGGTCGGTGAGGCAGGAAGCACACACAATGCCATTGAAACGATGAATTATGGCGATTTTAACGCCAACTTTGTCAGCCACTGTGACTTTATGGGAGAATACAAGGGGAAAAACAAGGGAAAACAAGGAAAAACAAGGAACAAGGAGTAAAACTAAGAGTAGGCGAGCCCAAGACACACAGTCAGAAGTGCAGAAAAAGAAATACCCAGGATGGCAGCTAAACAGAAACGCAAATCCCAGGTCAAACAATGGGAAAACCCCGGGAAAAAAAGGGAAACAGGTAAAGTGAGGAGAGCGTGACACGGATGAGGCTTTACTTAAAACCCTAAATTCAAATGGTATGACTAAGAAACCTTTATTTATCTGATAACTGATAGTAACCAAAATAACTGCCTACCTCTTTCCATGGTTCATTATTTCTTGGTATTAAAAACTATTTTTATTCACCTGAAAATTAGCGCTCTAACAAATCTTAATTTAATTTATAGCTTGTAGTAAGTAATATAACTGCCTACTTATTTCTAGCGATCATTGCTCCTTGAAAATAAAAAATTATCTTTCTATTTAGCTAAGACGTATGCTTCTTAGGTATTTGAAATGAACATTTTTTGAAGGGATTGACAGTTTTTAATTTCATTTTTCTACTAAATAAACCAATATTTACAAGTTAAAAAGTAGAAAAATATTAAAATTATATAACAGAATGTAAATCGTATTCACCAATACCATATTAAATAATTTAAAGACTCAAAATTATATCGCAAAAAAAAACTCAGCACACGGAAAATTGGTATGCACATTTATACCAATATAAATATTTTATTGGATCATTTGCCAGCCTTCCTTCTCATTTATGAACAGTGAAGTGCAATTTACAAATCAATATTGCAGGCCAGTAGTCAGTGTTACATCCTCGAGTGTCTGGCAAGGAATAATCGCAATCACGTCAGCCGTCCATCTCTTAGGGAACTGCCTTTTCCCCAGTTTTCCCTCGCTTTCCATCGCTTTTCCCTAGCTTTTCCCCCCCGACAGCTTATCTTTGCCAGCTCTTTTGCCTTTTTGCCTGCTCGCCATTTTCGTTGTTGAATAATGACCTCAAAATTGTAATGACTACGAGGCACGTACTCGATATAAAGCATGTACAAAGAAGCGCCCTTAACCCATGATGGCCCCACTCCACCTACGTCCCCTAACTCCCCTACTCACCTACGCCCCTGCCAGCGGTAATTCCCTAGTTTTGTGTGTGACGGTCTGCCTAAGTAGACTTCCGCTTTTCAATTAAGCTTCACATATTGTAGCAAGGTGTTTTATGCGCGATTTGCATGACAGTCGCGTTTATTAAACTGCCAACGAGAGTGGAAGCAAAAGTAATGGCCACGGCAAAAGGTGAAAAAACAGCAAAAACAGGGTAACAGCAAACCCTGTCAGGGCCATATTGAAATTGTGAAATTGTGAAATTGTAAAATTGTGAAATTGTGGGCAGGGCCAATATGCCAGGGGTAAAAATGGCAGAGAGTGTGTGACCTGTTTACGCTGGCAGAAAAGATAAATTGCTCAAGTGTGCGAGATAAAAGCAATCGAGTGGGGGGGGATTGGTGGGTGAAATAAATATAAAAACATACATAGACATACGTATAGAATCCAGCAGGACTCGATGGCAACTGCGGAGAAAGGATTGGAAAAGGGCGCCTTTGGCGAGCAGTGAAGTATAGTAAAGCAACCAGGTTAACATGACACTTGAGTGCTGCAAACAGCCAGCAGTTTGTTTTGATCACTTAAACAAACCCTGAAACGAAACTGAAATATGCTGGTCAATTCTCAAAATCACAATGCGTTGAATCACGCAAATAAAATGGTAAAAAGAATCTGCACTTCTGCTTAAACGAATAAATGCCTTTAGCAGGGTGAAAACTGTTTTGTATTGCCAAAAAATTAAAAAAAAAAAGAAGTCTAAAATCCAAAAAACATTTAAAAATTAAGAATGTCTTTTTTGTGTTCAACAAATTATTTTAAAAATGTCCTTCAAATATTAGCAATTTCTTAGAATTATCAATGGGCGTTTTAAATCTCATTTAATAGTCATCTAAGGTGCCCAAAAGTATGCAGTGATAAAAAATAGTCGTCTTTCCAAATAAATGCAGTGTTTATTTGTTGCATACTTTTAGACACCTAACATAAAAAAAATGCTTTAACTAACTAATAAAGGTTAGTTTGTGTTTCTTCAGAGAGATTTAACTTTATATCCCATTGAAAAGAGCTCTCATCAATCGAAGGATTATTGCCCAGCCTTTTGTGATCAAGAATCCGACATGAAAGCAGTCAAATAACTTTAGCAAAAATACCTCTCTTTGGTGCAATAGAAGAACATAACTAGGAACAACTCAAAGCCACTTGGCAATCCACATCCACATCCTGGTGTAATCCACTGCCATCAAGCAGTGCAAAGCATCGGTCAGGAGGCAAAAAACTATCATAAATCCGCTTAATCACTCGACCAGAGTGCAGACTTCACTTCGAATTTTCAATTTTCAGCTTGTTTTGCCAGCTTGCCGCTCTGTAATTTGTCCACGTCGAATCGTGAAAGTTTCTTGCTTCGTTTTCGGTGAATTTTCTACCATTTTTTGGGCTTTTCTTTTTCTATTTCGGTTTGATAAATTAGTCGGACGCTGCAATCGCCCAAATGGCCAGAGAACAAGACACAAATGATGCCCCTGTCCTCATTCCTATTTCTATTTCTGCTCCTGCCATTCCCACTGCATTACATCTACGTTTTATTCTTTCTACAGATGTTTTTTGTTTTTTTCGTATTTCGCCCCCGGAATTTCTCCCATTCGGTATGCAAAAGCAAGACTCAGTCCTTCGTCAGCTGCGGCCTTACCAAAATGCCTCAACACCTCCTGGAGACCAGAGAATGGGGCTCGGAGGGTCGTAAAAACTTTTTCCCATTCTCCTTGCCAGTTCTTATCTAGGTACATTTGTCATACAAAGCATAGAAATAAATGTCCACTTCAGCAGAGGCAGGAACAGCAGCCGGAAGTTGGGACTTTGGGGTTTCAAGGGTGGTGCGGAAAAAACAGCTGAGGTAAAATTAATACTATTTATATTAAGAATACAATTCTAAACAATATAAAACAAAAAACTTGTGCATAACAGCAAGCTTGTTAAATATAAATTTGGAGCCGAAATTAAAATACAATTTTTAAAACACTGATTATTTAGTGCGAAAAATATAATTTATCTTTTAGTCAAAAATACTCATTTTTTTGCAGTTTTTCAATCGTAGTTTAGCCAAATCAAGGCGTACAGAAAAAAGACCGACTGTTATGAGCAGCTTGCTTTCCATGCTTACGATCCTCATCATTTTTAGGAACATATATTTTTTGTCAAATTTTTTCATTTTTTGTAAGGGGGTAGCTCGGTTTTTTTTGGGATTCAGATTTTGGTCAAAAATACTCATTTTTTAGTGGTTTTTCAATCATAGTTTAGCCAAATCAAGGCGTACACCTAAAAGACCGACTGTTTTGAGCAGCTTGCATAATATGCTAACGATCCCTATCATTTTATGGAAAATCTATTTTTTGACCAGTTTTTGAAATTTTTGTAAGGGGGTATTTCATGTTTTTTGCGAAAAATGGCAAAAATGAAAAATTTTCAGGTTAAAATGCCAATAGAATGAAAATTAAACAAACGGGCTTAACGAGGTATGACATTCCTTATTCTGACTCATATTTTTGTTATGGGAGCCAAAAAACGGAATTTTTATGGCGAAAAAAAAATTCGAATTTTCGTCAAAAATAGGAAATTCAGATTTTTGTCAAAAATGCGACTTTTTTTCGGTTTTTCTATCGTAGTTTAGCCAAATCAAGGTGTACACCTAAAAGACCGACTGTTTGCGAAAGCTTGCTCAATATGCGAACAATTCTCATCAAATGCAGTTGTAGCCCCTGGTGGCACATATAACTATCATGCTGGACGCAGGTGTACTTTGCCTGCTCCTAGCCGCTGCGGTTTACGAGCAATTTCTTAAAACATATTTTCAATTTCTTTTATACCTGTAATTCCGGGTGTCTGCCTGCGCCTCCGCCTGGGCTTTCTCACCTTCCCCCGCCCCGAGAATCCCCTTATTTATGCCAACTTATTTCTCATCCTGTCACAGGACTTTGTTCAAGGACTTTCGATACTGTCGCGCGGCTCCGTGGAGGAGAAGCTGCGCTGGACCTTCTCGCTGTACGACATCAATGGCGACGGCTTCATTACGAGGGAAGAAATGACTGACATTGTAACTGCCATATACGAGCTGATGGGCCGCCTGCCCGACGAGTGTCCCGAGGAGGAGAAGATCAAGGGCAAGGTGGAGCAGATCTTCCAGGTGAGTTGCTCCAGCTCCGAAATGCAAAATCGCAAATCCCAAATACGAAATACCAAATCCCGGGCTATTCTCGACCATTATTTATGCTAATTACGCGCGTACAATTTGAATTTGACTCGCGAGAACATGAAACTTATTTACTTTGCATTATGCAAATTCAAATTGTCTATTTCAATTTGTTGGCCAGCATCTCAGGCTGGCAATTTTTGGGGGAATGTAGGTCCTCCGTTCGCAGGACATCGTCTTGTTTGGCTTGCCAGTCACGCGTTGTCATTAGCGGTCGTTGGCATTTGGAATAAATTGAGCGCATCAAATGCGACTGGCGAAAGCCCTTAACAACGGCACGCGGGAGTGAAATTGATGATAGATGGCCAGGATTATTTGAGGACCATTTCGAAAGTTGTTCTGTCCTACGCCTTGAATCAAAATTCCTTAGCACGCTTTCGGGCGCCGGAAGTGGATGTAGTGCGTCAAAGCAGTGCCGATGGCAAGCAGTTCGCATTGACAGCTGTTGCTTCGTTTTCCTTGGGGAAAGTTTTTATTATTAATAATCAGAATAACTATTATAAAAAAATGATCCAAAAAATTAGTAAAAAAAATTGGAGATTTCAAAATTTTTTGATTTCACATACGTTAGCTTATAAAGACTTAGAAATATCATCAGCCTTAAATCATTGGAAAAATGTTATAAAAGGAATTTATTCAGTTCTTCATTACAGAAAAGATAAACCTTTTGGGTATCAAATTGTATTTAAAACACACAAAAATTTTGTCACATTTAAAGATATTGCATTGAATGAAAATACAGAATCTTGATCTAATAAAAATAAAATTATCAGTTTTTTGCATGGTCCTAATGCTGTTTGGTACTCACCCCCTAGAAAATGGACACCAATCGCGATGGCGTGGTCACGCTGGAGGAGTTCCTGGAGGCCTGTCGCAACGACGACGCCATCTCCCGGTCGATGTCCGTGTTCGACACAGCGTTCTGACCATATCCGACGGACAAGGGCGATGAGTACACGGTGCCCCGGCGGCGGCGACATCAGCAGCCGGGACAGCAGCCACGTCAGCATCTGCAGCATCAGCAGGATCAGCCAGAGAAACGTAAGTCCAACCACAAGACGAAGAACAAGCAACAGCAAAAACAGCAACAGCAACCACATAGCACTAGACATCAAAACTGTTGTCACATAATCGACATGGATGGCGATAGCACCACTAGCACCACCACCGCCTCGGCGGCCACCGGAACCACACTCAATTGCAATGTCCTGGATGATTACGAGCGGCAGGAGCAGGATGATGATGATGGGGATGAGGACTCCGATGAGGATGATGCGGAATACAGATCCTTTGTCTGCCGGCACTGCCAAAGGCCGCAGTCGGTGGGTCAGCAGCCAAGAACTGGCCGTCGATCGCAATCGCAGTCCAAGTCGCGCAAGCGCAGCAAGAGCAGGAAGCGCCACCAGAGCAGGCAAGCGCATCCGGGTCACCAGGGTAGTAGCCAGGGCCAACAGACCAGGTGGCCGGAAATCAATGTGGCCAACGAGCAGGCCATCCGCTTCCGGTGTCCGCAGGTGGGGCCGCAGGTGGGTCGCGACCTTCACACCCCTCAGCCCATGCACTTCCATCACCCCCAGTCGCAGAGCCAGAAGGCCAAGAGCAAGTCCCGCCCGCGGAAGTCCCGCCCATCCCCGGCAGCTCAGCCTGCCACCGCACCACCTGCCCCACCAGCAGAGCCATCACCACAACCGCCCCCCTCCGAACTCCGCGCCCCCCTGCCACCCCTAAACATCATTGTGGGCGGAGGGTCGGAGGTCGAGGTCGAGGTCGATCCGCAGCAGCCACCGCCGCCCACCACCCCCGATTCGCCGTCGCTGGTCACCGTGAGCACCTGGTACACGGTGGCCAAGCAGGGTGTCTCCTGCTAATCGCGGTGAGCAGTGAGTATCCTTGCCAGCACCACCCAACCAATCAGCCACCCAGCCACATTGCACCCCAGTCAAAAACCACAATCCCCCCCCTTTGAAATATACACGGCGATGCCACTGATATCTCTAGATGCTGAAAAACCACTTAAAAATGTGTCTGAAAGTATGCTTTACCATTAAACTTTCGGATTCAAAAGATAACGTAGCATACCTTCCAGCGACTCTAAAAATGATTTAAAGTCTCTAGAGATTTTGGTGGCACCTGCTATAACAACGCTTTCCCCTTTCGGTGTTTCAATATATGTATACAATATATATATTTTGTGCTATTATGAATTATATGTGTGTGTTTTAGGGTGGATCTCTCAAAAATCAAAATTGGCAAACATAAAAATGTGTATGATAGCAAATAAAGAATGATGGCTTATTGGTTTTAACAATCAATTTCATTTGCCTTTTATAAATCGTTTGTAAAGAAGTGCTTACCCTTGAATACTTTACCATTAATCTGCGGTTCTAAAATGGGGGAAGAAATTGGCTCAACCCAATAATTGTAAATACATTTTGTAAGGCAATGCTTTTCAAAAAAGAACCAAAGAGAACCACGTCCGAAAGATATTATAATAAATAATACAAAATAAAGCAACCTTTCAAATTAAAAAACCGGGATCCACCCTACTGTATAAGTGCTTTAAGTTCCCGATTTGTCCTATTATTTGTACAATAATTAGCTAAATGAAACGTTCTCTGTGTGTATCGATTGATGTTGCAAACTGTCAAATGTGTTATAGTCTTAAATAAAAATAAATCTATAGAAAATGTAAGTGAAAATGAACCACAAAATGAAAATATATGAAAAGCATTCAAACATTTACTTTATGTTTCTTTAAATTGTATTATTTTTGCCCAGAGAAAACTTCTTGAAAATGTTGTTAGATGTCCTAGAGTATTTAAATTGACGTTAGCTGTGATGGAAAAACAAAGTATATTAAACCACAAAAAGAACTTTAATATTAATTGAAAAAAAATTGGTTTGTGGGAGGATATTGCTCAAATGAAAATTGCTTGCTAAATATTAAGCTTTTAGTGTGGGTGGGTGTGTGTTTGGATGTGCGTGCATTTAAAGATCTGGAGAGAAAGCATTTTAACAAAACCAATTTTCACTATTTTGACAGCCGCACTTTGAGGCTTTTCTTGCTAAAAACCGAAAATTGAATTGCTGGCATTACTTTAATTGAATTCTGTAAAATACTCAGAAATCATATTAAATAAAATAAATATGCAGATTAATGAACAGGCCAAATTCAGTCGATAAAATATTTTGCTTTAACAAAAACATCGATGTCATTGAAATGCAAATTAAATTGCGAAATTCGCCTATGCCAAAAAAAGGCGACAAATAAACCAAATTGTATGGGGCAAAAAATGTAGGAGTGGGGTTTTTGTTTTAATTTAAAGCAGCTTTCTACTTAATTGGATAAATTCAAAAGGCTGCCATTAAAACCCATTCGATTTCCCATTATTTCACATTGACATTCGTGTACTTCGAAAATGTTTGTAAAGTTTGCTGAGCGTTAAATTTTTTGCTAACTGTTATTGCTTGACATGCTTTTGTTGTTGTTTTCATTATGCCACATTGGACACACCAAGGAGACACACGCACACTTGCACACAGGCACACGCACACACACACACACACACACTCGCACACATGCAAGACAAAATAAACAAGGATGCAAACGCATGGGAATTGAAATTCGTGAATGGCAATTAAAATATCTGCTTTCTTTCTCTTTCTCTCTTTTCTCTTTCTCTTTCTCTCTCTCCCTCTCTCTTTTATCCTGGCCTGCACACACACACACGCACACACGCTTGAATAAACACCCACACACGTGCAGAAATTTGCATAGAAACTAAATGAAATGCGTAGCGAGAAAGACAACGCGAATCTGCCAAAATAAAAATCTAGGTACCGCCTGTCCATAAATATGCAATTATGGACGTGTTTGTGCAACTGTAAAAATAACGAAAATGTGCGGTAAAATTGTAAAGGCCACACGACAACTCGATTTTATCGGCATTATCGGCAGGGTTGCATTTAAAGAGCTGCAAGCAGTGCAGCGCAGTTCTCAAGTGTAAGTACATCTTGGCACCGGAAGTGCCACTGCTTGCCCAAAAATCATAATGAACAAACAGAAAATTGACATTGAAAATTGAAAATGTACGAAACGAAAGCTTTACACAATGAAACTAAAACTAAAAACAAAAACTAAAAAATACTCTTAACGATTTAATGAAACATATATAGAGAGAAATTCAAATTACACAGAAACTATATTTATACGAAAAGGAAATAGCAAGGAAAAATACTAAATACATTTAATTGGAACCAGTTTGACTTTCTATTTGAAATATATGTAAACACACGACACACACACACACACCAAACACACTGGAAAATGTCTGTAGGTAAATAAATGTGTAAATCAAAATAATAGCCACAAATACAAAGGGCAATGAGAAGGAGAATTGGAGAAGTGCTCCCCCGGGCGTATGCGTAATGTTGAGTATATTGTTGCCATATATTCTCCATTAGCAAATTAGTGACAATGATGGAATGTCATCAAGTCGGCCGGCAATATGTATACTATATAATTCTGGTGTGTGTGCCTGTTGTGTGTGCGAGTGTGCAAGCTAAATCAAATAAAAACAAATGTTTGAATCAGAAATTGGACCACAGCAAACAAAGAAGTAGCATAAACCGATATCCGCTGTATATGCATATTATATTTACATATATATACACATGAATATATATATATATTGATACATATATATATATAGATATATATACAAGGCATACAGTATTTATCAAGTGCATAGGTGTGTAATTGTAATTTTTTGTAGCTAGAACTAAGTGACACAGGACACAAAGAGAGAACTATTAGAAATAGATAAATGGAATATGGTTAATTGGACATCTCGTTGTACATAGTTAGTGAGTGGTTTTTTTCGCCGTTAAACCAACTACAAATCTTTCTCTATATTAAACTCTAAACTCAAAGTAATTGTTGCATTTTTAAACCCTTTTAAATACATAGCTGTGTACTTAGCTGTAGTCTTCCAGAAGTAACCGAAAAAAAATCGAAAACAAGGCGAGAAGCTGACGAAAACTCTATTCCACTTAGATTGAAACCTGTAGCAAATTTGTACCTTAGCCGAAACACCCACAAAAAAGCTTTCAACAACAATAAAACTTCTTCTTAATAGACGAACAAAAAATCCGAGTCCAATAAATAAAACCATATACAAAACTGTTGCTGTCGTAGTTTGAGACGAACTGTATTATTTTTGGATAAATGTTATCGATTTTCTGCCCACTTCCAAGGTTATTCAATGTTAGATCCTTCGAACTATTGGTTTCCCACTGCGTATATAGAGTATATATGATCGATCTGATCTTGGGCACGACAATATCGAAAAGGAGCCACAGAAGTGCTATATAGCCAACATATATAATACCCTCCCACCCCAGACTAACACACACACATCCCCCTCTCTCTCTCTCTATCTATCTATCTCTATCTCTCTCTACTTATCTGTGTGTGAATTAGCAATCAAATACTAACGCAAAATCTTTTTCAAAAACAAAGTGTCAAATTTTCAAGAAAAACATAACGAATGAAAACCAAAGAAAATGTTGGCATCTTGACAGAGACGAGAGGAGGAAAAAAATTGATAAATTGGAGGATTGCCAACCTAGTTGCAAGTATTTTCCAGGCCTAAGCCTTAACGATTAGAGAAATGCAAGTAATTGTAAACACAAAGAAATATATGCATATAGAGTGTGTGTTTTTTCCTAATTTATAAGCTGTTGAAATCAAATTTTACCAATGAAAGTAAGTATTAAATAAAAAGAAGAAGTATTGAGGACAGAAAACTCTCGTTTTAGAGAACCACTTGAATTTTCAGTTGTTAATGTAAAAACTGTATTAGCCATTTATTTGTGAGCGATATACTATGTGTTAAAACAAATGAGAAAAGCTAAAAAAAAAAAGCAGAAAATACATGTCATAGCATAGGCCTAAGAGCGACATTTATTGGGGGACTCCGAAAGGCCTACGGAAGTATATCAAAATAAAAACCGAATTGTTATCGGACGAACGACGTTTTTAAGCCACTAAGAGAATTTCCAGTGTTATCAATCGATCGATGTACATCTTCTGGGCCAAAACGATTGAGCCACGTTATAAACACAATTACAAATTGATAAACTTACGAGTATATACACAGATATACTAATGTACTAGTCGTAAATATAGCTGATCTTTTTTGGTGTAAATTTTAAATGATAAAACCAAACGAACAAACTTTCCATGCAATAAAAACAAACACATTGTTTCAAAACTAAAGAGATGTCGTTTAAATGCAAAACTGCATGAACCAAAAAACAAATAAAAAACAAAACAAAAACCAAAATGAGCATGAAAACACTTAATTAAAAAGAACAAATATTTTTTTTGTGAAGTTAAAATATGTATAAAACAAAAATTAAAGGTATAAAGAAAATAAAAACCAGATGAAATACAAAGAAAAAAAGGAGAAAGTGTATTTTATTTTAAAATGGGGAAAAAGAGATATCCTAAACCAAAAGGGCTTCTAATTAAATCGAGGAAACTTACAGAACCTCCCCCATTTGCTTTGAACTAGCTCAGATTTCAGAAACACACTCCTCTTTGCACATTTATGGCTGGTCAAAAGGGATTCAACTGGCCAAGTTTAAGAGGAAAAGTTGGCCGATGCATGCAAAATGCAGTCGAGCGGCTAATGGAACCGTAGGGACGCCGTTGTATGCCGATCAGAGCGGGAAATTAATACGGAATTAGCTCGAGATACCTACTCACATGGACATATATGCACATATACTCGTATGTGGGGCCTCCGAGATCGAAGTTCCCTTTGACCAGCCACGTCCTGCAATTATAATGCGGTCTACAAGGGGATTCAACGAGAGCACGCACAAGGAAACCCACTTAATTGTTACATAAAAAAATTGGCCAAGGGCCAGAGGCAGATGGCAAAGGGGAAATGGTAATCGTTAATTAAATCACGTTGTACCGGAAATGAAGTTATTGACAGGCCCAAGTGTGGGACGTGGTGTAATTGCCCCGCCGGAGTATCGCCTTCATGTTCCATTAGGATGGCCGGGGATGGTGGCTTTTTGTGGGTTGGCATGGTGCAATTTCACGGACAAACGCAACTTTTCAATTTGTTTCAATGCCAAAACGGTCGACGCGTAGTCCACGGTCCACAAATACCAAATGACCAAATGGAGAACCGCACACGTACGCGGCCCTGGCCACATTTGACCAATGCCCGTTGGCCTGGCTCACTCTGTTTTTCCGTGTTTTCCGCTTTTTTTTTCTCCTTTCCGACCTGGCCAAAAGGAGTTGGCCGGATTCGTGACAGCGACTGCATGTCGGCCAGTGTGGCTTTCCTCCTTGGCTGTTTTTGGGATGTACTGGCCTCTAAATGCTCTTGAATTTGCAAACAAAGTGCCAGAAATATTGCAGAAAGCGTGCTATTCTATTTAAAAAGGCTTACCTACATTTTTAATTTAAAAAAAATTAGCTAAACAATTATAAAAATATATTTATTGGTACTTACAAAAATAAAATCTGTATGGATACAGGGCATATTTCTTAAATTTGTATATTTACTTGACTAATTTAATATTTTTAAGAAAATGTTTGGCAATTTTTAGGACTACTTTTGCCAGAACTTCTTGCCTAGTAATGTTATTAAATGCCTAATAATATATGTTCATAATATATGTTCATAAACAAAATTACAAAAAATACTTAAATACAGGAACTATACTTTATATTCTACTTCTATATTTGATTAATTTTGTAGATATTAGCAATTTTTTAAGAGCATATATTTCAACAGTTTCTTCAATGTTATTTAATACTTATGAAGCCAAAAAATACATTCATAATTTTCTGAAATTTGTTTTGATTTATTGGACAATTGTAATTCCTATTAAAAGATAATTTTTTGTTATTTTGTTCATACACTCTTCAGAACTTAAAACAATTTAAATAGGCACACTTCTTGACTTATCACCCCAACCACTTTGAAACAGACTTCAAAGTACAAGTAAGCTAGTAATCAACATTATAATCAACGGTTTCAATTAACAAGCGAAAGCCGGATATAAAACTGCGTCTTTCGAATACACATGTTCCTTTGCTAATCCTCACCAAGCACTTGTGTGAACTTCGGAACTGGCTCAAATTCTCAGCAGATTACATGGAAGTTAGCACGACATTGGCATTAAGTTGGGTTCCCTCCTTCAACTTCAAACTTCCCTCGCCCAACTATCGATTGTCGTCGGCCCATAGACGAGTTTTCGAGTTGAGTTAACAGTAAAACCATTTATGCCTTTGTTGTCATCAGCTGGTTTTCCTCCTGCCATCCGCTTTTTGGGCCAAACTGCGCATAAATATTTACGGGATTATCCGAACTGTTGGCACAGACATTGACGGCGCTTAAAGTGGATTGGCAGGCCAAGTTGGCTAAGCCAATCGAAGGACCCGCCTCGAATCCGAATACGAATTGGAGTCCGAGCCCAGGTGCCTCAGTTCCAGGGATCTGCCTGCCTTGAGGGGCCAAAAGTGCAATAAAACCATTTGGTCAGTCACAAATGCAGTCGGCCTGTGCAGCGGAATATTCATGCTTTCGGCCCGACGACGATAATATCAATCGATAAAAGCCATCAAGGACTCGCATTAAGTCCTGCATCCTGTCCAACTATTTATTAACAAGCCCCTATTATATCAGCCCGGATAATCGTCTTTGGTGACAGTTGCCCGGAAATGATTTCGTAAGTTTTTATGTCTTCACTTTGTGTGTTTTTTCGGGTAGGCAGAAAATCAGAACCGGAGACGAGTGAAAATGTCTTCATCGGCGGACACACAGAAAGAATCATAAAAATTGATTGCGTCTATGGGTTCTTGCCATCATCATTATTTATTTCTTTGGCTAATATGATACTGAGACAAAGTCACATAAAATAAAATTAAATTGCCATGAATTTTATTCGAACTTATGGTAGCTGTTTCATTTGTACTATTCAATTAACTTCTGGTCAAGTTGCATAAAAAAATTTAACTTTTCGAATTTTCTAATCTATCAGGCTTAAATGTTTTCTTTTAAGATTTTAGTAAAAAAATAAACACTTTTTTAAGCGGGTTTTCTATGTAGATTGGGCAAATCAAGGCGTACAATTAAAATGCCGACTTTTATTTTTGGGATTCCGATTTTGGTAAAAAATACACATTTTTTAGTGGTTTTTCAGTCGTAGTTTAGCCAAATCAAGGCGTACAACTAAAAGACCGACTGTTTTGAGCAGCTTGCCAAAATTTCTATCGATCCCCATCACTTTAAGTAAAATAAATTATTTGACCTATTTCGCATTTTTCATAAGGGGTGACATCATGTTTTTTTGCGAAAAATGGCCAAAATTAAACATTTTCAGATTTGAATGCCAATGGATTGGAAATTAAACTACAGGTCCAACGAGGTATGACATTCCTCAATCTGACCATTATTTGCATAATGGCAGCCAAAACACTGATATTTTAGGTCCAAAAAATGGGATTTACATTTTGGTCAAAAATTGTTCTATTTTTAGAGGTTTTTCAATCGTAGCTTAGCCAAATCAAGGAGTATAGCAAAGGGACTGACTGTTATGAACAGCTGGCTACCTATGCTAACGATTCCTATCACTATAAAAGAAATTCATTTTTTAACCAATTTTTGAATTTTTTGTAAGGGGGTCCATCGGTTTTTTTTGAGATTCCGATTTTGGTCAAAAATACTCATTTTTTCGTGGTTCTTCAGTCGTAGTTTAGTCAAATCAAGGCGTACAGCTAAAGACCGACTGTTTTGAGCAGCTTGCTAAATTTGCTAACGATCCTCATCATTTTTAGGAAAATTTATTTTTACGTTTAGCAGGTGGAGAATCGATCAGCTGATTAGTTTAATCTGACCTTCATTAGAGATGCCTTCGTGACTGTTTCCCTTTGTCACGGCGTAAGCAAGTACATAGGACTTAACAATTACTTCTTGCATATCGTGACAAACTCGTGAAAAGCACGTGATACGGCCATGGCTGCTCATCTCCAGTCTGCTCTTGGTTCTCAAGTAACAGTTGTTTTTAAGGAGAGGGATTTATATTGGTTGGCGGAGGGAGGGGAAAAATGGTAAGGGCCGCCATTTTAAAAAATATAAGTTGACTTAAAGTTACCAGCTGTCACTTGCTAAGTTTTCTGTTTGCCTTGTGTCTGAGACGATAAGTCCAGCACTTTGACGAGCTCTCTTTGGTAGGTTTCTTAATTTCAAACACCCGGCGAACATAAACGTTTAGCAGGTTGAAATTCGATCAGCTGATTAGTTTAATCTGACCTTCATTAGAGATGCCCTCGTGACTGTTCCCCTTTATCACGGTCTAAGCAAATACATAGGATTTAACTGTTATTTCGTGCATATCGTGACAGGCTCGTGACAAACTCGTGAAACGCATATGATACGGCCATGGCTGCTCATCTCTAGTCTGTGCGTGGCTCTCAACTAACGGTTGTTTCCAATGGAGGAAGATTCCTATTGGTCAAAAGGGGGTGGGGAAATATGAAAAGGGCCGCCATCTTGAAAATTAACAGTTATTTAAGTTTGCCTTTAGCAACCAGCTGTCACTTGCTAAGTTTTATGTTTGCCTGGTGTCTGGGACGGCAAATTGTCTTCTGGCAGATGAAACTTGGTAGATTTCTTAATTTCAAACACCAGGCGAACATAAACGTTTAGCAGGTGGAAATTCGATCAGCTGATTAGTTTAATCTGACCTTCATTAGAGATGCCCTCGTGACTGTTCCCCTTTGTCACGGCCTAAGCAAATACATAGGACTTAACAGTTATTTCGTACATATCGTGACAAACTCGTGACAAAATCATGACACGGCCACGGTTGCTCATCTCTAGTCTGTGCGTAGCTCTCAACTAACGGTTGTTTCCAATGGAGAAAGATTCCT